TGAGAAGCTTGCGTTGCAGTATGGTGCCTGGAAACCAATGATTTGATCATATCAAATACTCGTGATTTGGGGAGGGAGGGAGAGACAGAGAGAGAGAAATAGAGAGAGAAAGAGAGAGAGAGAGAGAGAGAGAGAGAGAGAGAGAGAGAGAGAGAGAGAGAGAGAGAGAAAGAGAGAGAGAGACGAATTAAAGTACAGAGACGCCATTTGCCAATATGGCATATAGTGCTATACACACATTCTATCCACACACACACACACATTTTATCACACACATACACACACACACAAATGAGATCAATGAAGCCCTATTGGTGACGTGGTCAACAGCATGCCGATCTCTTCTTTAATTCAAACACAATTTCATGTTCACATCTCAAGGCTGATCGACCTTTGAGCTAATTAGACAAATTATACTCATGGAGTCGAACTCAAGCCCATTAGGTTGTGTAGCAAGCTCTTTTGAAGCAGATTTTTACCACACTTTCGACCAGTAAACATTAACAGTTCATGAGGTGGTAGACGCAGATCAAGTGTACACATCATGGACTTTGTATGTAAGCTTTTTATGCCTGCCACAGTTTTTTAAAGGGGAGCAGTGATTCCAGATAGGCTAGCAACTAAGTACAGTGAGCACAAGAACAGTGACCACAAGTACAGTGACCACAAGTACAGTGACCACAAGTACAGTAACCACAAGTTCAGTGAACACAAGTACAGTGACCACAAGAAGTGGCAACAGTGGTCCTGAAATCCCGTGCTCTAATTGTGGAATACTTTTCTTAACATGAGCTGGTCTTTCTAGTCACATTCGCCATCGCCATGGGCTGATTTCCATGCCTTTGTGTAGCACAAATTAACATTATCATCTAAAAAGACCGAAAAGGTGGCAACACCAGTTTTATAAGATGTTCTCTGCCTGTTGTTATATCAAAATCTCGCAACACGGTCAGTATGTCTCGTTTAGATATTTGCAGCTATCCATATAAAGGCTCAGAGTGCTAAAGAAAACAAAACGTAGTGTACAAAAAGAAGAAGAAGAGGAGAAGGAGGAGGAGAAGGCGGAGGAAGACGAAGAAGAAGAAGAAGAAGAAGAAGAAGAAGAAGAAGAAGAAGAAGAAGAGAAGAAGAAGAAGAAGAAGAAGAAGAAGAAGAAGAAAAAGAAGAGGAAGAAGAAGAAGAAGCTTTGATGAACTATAAGAAACTATTACTCAGTGTGCTGTTAAAAACCATTCCTTGTGACATGCTTTGCGCTGCTATTACCTGACCATAATCATATACATGATAAATTCCTAGAATGTCACATCACGTGTGGTAACAGGGAAATATAACACAGCTGCATTGTAAAACCATTCCAGGTTTAGGCCCAATGCCATGGACCATCAACTCAGAGATCTATCCCATGTGGGCCAGAAGCACAGGGAACTCCATCGCCACCGGATGTAACTGGATTTTTAATTTACTGGTCTCGTTGTTTTTCTTGACACTGACAGAAGCCATCACAAAATACGGTGAGTTGAGCCACCATTTGTTTTTGTATACCTGTATGTATGTCCCAGGTTCAGGTCCCGATGAAGGGTGAGACCCCCCCCCCCCCCCCCCCCCACCCCCTGGACTTCTAGTAATTCCCCTGCTCTCTGGGTAATAAGATCGGATGCTGTGTGTATTGTTGCCTATAAAAAAAAAAAAAACCGCAGCAGTTGGAAATTGAAAAGTAGCCGTGCAGCCCAGGCAAAACTTTTGAGTTAAAAATCTAGTCAAAGCATTTGGGTGCACTGCGCTGAGATCCTTCGGACTCAGGCTTGAATTAGACGTAGAACGGAGCACTTCTGTGCTATGATGTTGAGCTATTGAACCAGACCAAACCTGTATAGGAAATAATATTGGGAAAATCTACAGAGTAGTATACTAAACCTGATATTCCACATTATGCCTGCGGCTTCTGGTAGAGGGAGGGGAAATGTAATCTTATGATCAGTCCCGTGCGGTATATTTTCTCAGTACGATGCAAGTCTTCGAAATGACGCCCCTTTTAGATGTCAGATCAAATATCCAGACTATATATTGATTTCGCTGTTTATTCCGCCCCTAGGGTTCCGCCTCTTTGTACCATGGAAGAGCACGGCCCTGGTTATTGTAGACCGTAGAAGGCTCTTGGTTGAGAGCTGATCTGGCAGCTTCTGCAACATGCCTAATTCTAAACTAACACCGAAGTCAAGAGGACTGACTTCATTGCATCATGTTTGTTCCTATATGGCTCGGTCTCTCTCTCCGCAGACCGGCTAGCCGCCTGCCCAGAGAGCCACACATAGCACGAACCCTATAGCTCGGCGACGATACGCACGAATCTCTGTGAAAACTGCACTCGTGAACCAAACGGCGAAGCAAAGAAGATGATCCATGACTTTCAGAGTGCGAGGCAAACGGCTTGACCAATGTGCCACGGATACGACTGGTTCCAAACTAGTGGTGAAGCCTTTCTTTCGAACTAGGCCGAGCAGGGGCACATGCTGCGAGGGCAACACATGGTCTGTACAGTACTATATAGGCTCTGAGCTGTGGAGGGGAAGAACTTCGTTCCCCGACCTGTGACTCCCACGCCTCTCTATATAACACTATCATCTGGAAATACGGCAAAATGCCAACTGCATGAACACATCTTCTCATACTATTTGTTTCTATTGTCTTCTTGTGAATCTTTGTGTAGAGGGTTAAATATTCTGTAGGTTTACAGACCTGTCTTAGCCTATGAGGTAAACTAGTTACAATTATCATCCAGTGCCTTGCTAACTGGCGTGGGCGATAATGCCTCTCCGCAACCTGAATTTTTCAAAATTGCAGATGAATGAATAACGTTAAGAGGATCTTTTACTTTCTAGTTTGTGTGTGTGTGTGTGTGTGTGCGCGTGTGTGTGTGTGTGTGTGTGTGCATGTGCGTACGCGTGGGCGCGTGAGTGTGTGTGTTGTCAGCATGCATAGAGTCATTATCACCTGGTGGCCGAACCATTTCAATCTTTGTTTCTCAGTTTAACAATGTATATTGTTCCCACAGTGCTTCTAATCTCTTCAGTTCTGGTGCAGTCGTATCTAGTCTAGTTTGCATCCTTTCTAAAACAACTTGAAAAAAAAAAACCCTGGTTTTCACTACTTGGTCCGTATTGTTTTAATCATTATCATCATGTAGTAGGTCCTTTGCAGAACGTCGCTCTCATCACGGTCTGCGTCAAAGAAACTCGGTCTCTCGCCAGCTCTCCCGTATATCCTGTGCCCATCTTCGTGTCGGTCGGCCTCTGCCCCTCCTTACTGGTACCATGTCTTCTGCTATTTTTTTCCCAACCCGTCGTGGCGCTTGATATGACTAAAATATTTCAGCTTCCATGACAGGATACTGTTTATTAGCCAATCTTCCTCGATGTTCAGATCTTTCAATATGTCAATATTTCTCCTCTTTTTCGTCCAAGATATTTTGAGAATCCTTCAATAGCATTTCAACTCAAAAGCCCCTATTCTCTTTCTTAAGGACTGGGAGATAATCCACGACTCACATCCCTATGTTGCTACAATGAAGATGCATGCTTTCAACAGTTCAGTTTTTCTCCTTGCTGGAGCTTAACCATAGACTTTTATGGCTGTTTAATCTTTGCATTGCTATGGCCATCCTTCTTTTAATTGAAAAAAAAAAATCAATTTTAATTTATTGTTCAAATACTAAATTTAAAATAAATAAATGATGCTGTTGTTTTGTCTTTCAGGTGCGTTTTGGCTGTTTGGGTGCATCTGTTTAGTTGGAATGTTCTTCACAATCATCTTTGTCCCAGAGACCAAAAATAAAACTCTGGAAGAAGTGGAGGATTTATTTAGGGGCAAAAAGAAACGAGGATCTGAAAACTTAGGCTATGAGGTAGAGGTCCCACCAGCAGACAATAAGGAGAACAACGCAGAGCCGAAATATAACACACGATTTTAAGCAGACTCGGATGTAACATAGAGACTTTTGTACATACTTGTGGGTAGATGTGTGTCTGCCTGTCTACATTGTGTAAGTGGATGCATGTTTACATATGTGTGGATGTATGCGTGTAGGGAAGAGTTCTGTTGTTTGAACCGACAGTTTGAGAGGCATGGCTTGTGAGTGAATATTTCAGACACCCATTGTTTGATAATAGGTCCTAGTGCTTCATTGTCGTAGGGAAACTAGCTTCTTTGACACGGGCAAATAAGCTTCTTTGTCATTGGAAAATTAGTTTATTTAACACAGAAAACTAGGTTCTTAGGCAGGGAAACATAACTTCTTTGACATTGAAAAAAGAGACTCTTTGACACAATGAAACTAGGCCAGGGAAACTGGCCTTTTTTTTGTTGCATGAGTAGCCTCTTTGATACCTGGAAAGTAGTTTTTTTAACACATGAAAAGTAGCTTCTATGACACATGAAAAGTGGCTTCTTTGACACATGAAAACTAACTTCTTCGACACAGACAATGTAGTTTTCTTAAAAGAGAGAAACTAGCTTCTTTGACATCCAAAATGTAGCTTCTTTGAACCCGAAAAGTAGCTTCTTTGAACCCGAAAAGTAGCTTCTTTGAATACGAAAAGTAGCTTCTTTGTACCCGAAATGTAGCTTCTTTGATATTGTGAATGTATGGGAGCATGGGCCTAGTCTCTTGATCCTTTTGGTTTAAATATGTTATGTGTGGAAGTGGAGAGATCATGTACAGGCAGACCTACAAATACTCCACTAACTGGAAAGATAAGACCAGTCACAGAGATGAATGGAGTCGGGCGATGTCTGCGTCAGTGAACCACAAGGGCTCTGAAGGCTAAAGAAGAAGGAGGAGGGGAGAAACAAGAAAACCATGTGTAAGGGACACATAAAGGGACCTTTTGCTAGAAACCTTATCCTGGCTATGTGGTGAAGTAAGTACAGTTGAACTCCAATGCTCGTCATTCATCTGTACCCGGGGGGAAGGGCGAATATTAGAATGTATGAAAAGCAAAACA